TGATTCATTTTTATACCTAAATTTCACATACCTTGAAATTTATGTAACTTGCTCTAGGTACGCTATGGGGACGTAATATTTTAAATTTGTTAGTTTGGCGGTGAGACCTTTCATTTGACCCGAACATGGTCGATCAACTCGATTAACAATACAGACGGTTCCATTGTGAGATTAATCGATTTTTCTTGATTTTAATCAATTTTAATCGATTTGTGGCTCGAACTTAATCAGAGTTTACCCCTTTAAATCAATTTTTTTGCGATTTTTCACTGGCAAATTGATATTAATCCTATTTCTAGCCTTGATTTTTGTGAAGCACGATCTAAAAGGAGTGTTGAAGTGTATAGGGTAGAAATTTGCACCCACTCGCCCACCTCCCGCCCCGCCCTCCCTACAGACGTGACACACATCTTAGCAAACAGTCGTCACAGTCGTGACAAACACGTTAGAAAAGGCTTATCACAGACATGGCAAACGTCCTTAGCAACAGTCTATCGCAGGCATGACACACATCGTAGACCGTGACAGACACCTTAGCAAAATCAGCTCCATCACAGATCGTGGCAGACATCTTTAGCAACGCTGATTGTCCGTCACAGACATCACTACGAGACCATTATAGACCGTATTTTACAATCCAAGCAGCTTCATCGTGTTTCACATTTTAATCCCGCAGGAATTGCGTTAAAAGCTTTTTTAGATGAATATATAAACTATTTCAATTGAGATTGCTCAATTACTTGATTAATCGATTAAAACCAAGGAAAATCGATTAGAATCGTCCAGATTTTTAATCGATTATTCCAGTTTACCCCAAAAAATCGATTTTTTGGGTTTTCCCAGAAAAAATCGATTTTAATAGATTTTAGAAGCAATCGATTAACATCGATTATTTGGATTTTCTCTGAAAAAAATCGATTTTAATTGATTTTAGAAGTAATCGATTAAAATCGATTAGATTTTTAATCAACTATTTGGATTTTCCCAGAAAAAAACCGATTTTTATCGATTTTAGAAATGATCGATTCTAATCAATTAAGATCGATTAAATGTTTAATCAACTATTTGGATTTTCCCAGAAAAAATCGATTTTAATCCATTTTTACTGAGTAAAATCGATTATAATCGATTCTTGGCTCGAATTTAATCAGAATATACTACTTTTAATCGATTTTTACCGATTTTTCTTTCGAAAACCGATTTTAATCTGATTTTTAGGCTTTTTTTTACATGGGTCTGTCACAGTCTATGATGGGTACTAGGTTTCTCTGTTACTGACTGTGATGGGTACTAGGTTTTTCTGTAACGGTCTATGCTAGTCTTTGGAGGCTTCCTGTCACGGTCTGTGACGGGTATTGGATTTCTCTGTCACGGTCTGTGATTGGCATGGATTTTTTCTGGTACGGTCTGTGATGGTTATAGAGTTTCTCTGTCACAGTCTGTGATGGATATAGAGTTTCTCTGTCACGGTCTGTGGTGAGTATGGATTTTCTCTGTCATGGTTTGTGATGGTCTCTGCAGACCCTCTGTCGCGGTCTGTGATGGGTATGGATTTTCTCTGTCACAGCCTGTGTGGGAGAGGGGGGCGGGAGGGAGTGGGTCCAAAATTTCTACCTCTAAACACTTTAACACTCCTTTCAGATCGTGTTTCACAAAACTAGTTCGTTTTGAATATTTTATCGTATCACAGATTTGTACTACTGAACATGGATTGTATTGCTTTGATCGGCATCGCTTGTGAATTGCCCAATGACATTCATTCACCGCACGCATTATGGGATTTCATCACAAATAATATTCACCTTCAAAGTGAAATAAGAACAGAGCAAACGGACTATCAATCAACGCCCATACCTTTATTGGATACTAATCCGAGTTTGAATAGTAAACCGATCGAACGTAGTTATCTCCTTAAAAAAGAAATTTTAAATGGATTTGATCCTGAATTTTTCGGTATTTCTGAGCAACAAAAACAAAATATAGATTTAGTAGATCGTATCCTACTTGAAAAATTTGTTCATCTATTAGAAGACGCAAATTACACAATTGATCACATAAGTGGAACAAATACCGCCGTATTCGTTCAACAGAATCCGAATAAACATCAAATTACGGTTACTAGACATCGATCTGGCTGTCATGAACCTTTATTGGCATCAAACCTACATACATGCAGTGCGTCAATACGCTTAGCATATCATTTTAATTTACGTGGGCCAAATTTGACAGTTGATTCGGCACATTCATCGTGCTTGCTACCAATCCATATGGCTGTACAAGCACTGAGAACACGTGAGGCTGACTATGCCGTGGTTGGTGGTACAAGTGTATTGCGCACAATTGAACACTTGTTGAGCGATAGACAACTTCAGTCTGCATCGTCAGATCAACGAAAAAATTCTTACTGTGATGAGTCAAATGACTTCGTTAAAGGCAAGTATATAGACATGTTCTTTTTCGAGAAAATAGTTTTCGAAATACTAGTCAATTTTGAATTTCTGATTGAATCTATGTGAAGCTGGGCGCACTTGACGAAATTCTATGCTGATATAGTGAGTTACTATTTGAGCTTAGATTACAATTTGAGTATTAGCATTTTGTACATTCATAAAATGAGTGTCCGTTTCTTTATTTGAATCTAGGAAAATTCTGTTTTTTCTGCAAAACAAGATTGAAAAGTATTGCGACAGTACAAGGCAGAAAAAGTCACTCTCATCCGGTGGAAAAATACTAGATTGTATCAGATTATGTCAGACTATAATGGAGTTTTCTTCCAATAAAATCAAAATTATAATCGGTTGAAATCTTCAAAGCCAGCTACCATCTAATTTCTAATCAAAATTTTGAAATCAACTATGATTTGGGTTAAAATCTTACAGTTTTCATTCAAATCATGTCAGATCACAAATATATAATATTAGTCAAAATTAGACTTGATTTCGAATATTATTTTCGACTAGAAATCATATGTGATTAATTTCGAAGGTTTCCACCGATTATAATTTTGATTTTGTTGCAAAAAAATCCGATTATAATCTGGCATAGGGGTGGCACTTTAACTTTAACTTTAAAGAAAAGTTAAAGTTTAAAGTTGTTTAAAGTGACTTTAAAGTCGTTTAAAGTCGCTTTAGACTTCTTTATTTTTCCTGTTTTTGATACTCTATAGCCTATAAAATATTAGAAACAAGAAAAATAAAGCGACTTTAAACGACTTTAAAGTCACTTTAAACAACTTTATACTTTAACTTTTCTTTAAAGTTAAAGTTAAAGTGCCACCCCTCATCTGGCATAGTCTCTCATTTTTCCACTGGAGTGGGGGGGGGGGGGAGATTTTAAAAGTGCAAAAAAACTAAAACTTCTGGGTCAAAACTAAAGAACAAAGCATTTTTCAGCTATCGGGATAATAATTAGATAAGAATAGAAATAATTGATTGAATTTGATTGAAATCAAGAAGTCTTATTAAAATCGTGACATTATAATGAATTTTTAATCACCAAAAAAAGATTAGTTAGAATTAGATTTTTTCTTGATTTTTTTTCATATGAAATTAATTTGAGTAGTTTGTTTGAGGCTATTTTTCTGTCAACTAGTTGTTTTTGTTTTGTGCCAGCAAACAGCTCTTGTGAGACCTCTAATATTGAACAGGAATTTAATAAGGGTAAAGTAAAATTTCAGCTAGTTTTTCAAACAAGTATTGTATAAATTCATCTACCTCTTGACTTTAGCGATATGCAGGTTAGGATTATTAGATGTGATTGAGTGAGTATGTGCTAGTGCATTTTGGTGTGCCTGCGGACTAGAAAATGATTTACTCATCTGATTATTGTCAGGATATTCATAAAAATAGGTATTCATCGTAATTATATAAGTGCTTAATGATTCTTATCTTTTTATTGAAGGTGAATGTGTTGTATTGATACTGCTGAAAAGATTATCAGATGCTATTCGTGATTGTGATCAAATTTATTGTGTTATTCGTGATGTACTTTCACATCGTGACAATGATATCGATATGAAGAATTGTTCAAGCCTATTCTCCAATGCTCCACTTCAGCTGTTGAATGAAATCTATAACGTACGAAACCAAACTGATTTGTCCCAAGTATTCTATATTGAAGAACATGGTATTATTACAACAGATGACAATCTATTGGAAGAAAATACAATAGGTGAATTTTTTCATCGCGGTGAAGCTGAACAGCCCCTTTTGCTCGGTACAGTCAAGTCTAAGATTGGTGATACTGATGGTGCAGCCGGTATCGTAGCTTTAATCAAAGTTGCATTATCAATCAAACATCGTATGATTCCACCACAAATGACTTTTGGAAATTTTAATCCGAAAATTAAATTTAAAGAATATAACTTACAGATTGTTGAAAATTTGACGATATTTCCATTAAATCAACCCATAATAATCGGAATTAACTGCAAGAATTCTCATGCAATCGTCGAGGAATGGATCAATTCCCATTATTCTTGTTCAGACAAACCAATGCTATACCAGTGTTCAGAAGAAACAATAGCAGATGTAGTTCAACAACAGCAGCATTATGTTGCAGTTATTTCCGGTGAGTTTTCACCTTTTTTCTATAAAATGATGTTATTGTTTTTCTTTTCAATTTACGCTTGTTAGCTAAGTGTCAGCAATCGTTGAGAAATCAATTGAATAATTTTTCAAAATGGTATTCATCGCTGCCTATAGAAAATGAACAGCTCATTCTGGCTAGTCTGTGCCATAAATTATTATTGAAAAGAACTACAAATTTTTCGCATCGAGCTTCATTCATCTTTTCTAATAACGAAGAATTTAAAAATCAAATAACAACATCGTTGTCAAAATATGATAGAAAAAATATCGATGGAACACCTGGTATTGTTTTCTGTCAAATCACAGAGCAGCATGCATTCCAAGATAATCAAAACATCTGTTTTGTTTATTGTGGGACAGGACCACAATGGTGGAAGATGGGGCGTGAATTATATAATTCTGAGCCAGTATTTCGACAATGGATTAATAAGATCAGCACAGAACTTGAAACATTAACAAATGAATGGTCATTGATCAGAGAACTTATTGATATGAGTGATGAGAAGTCATCGCATATTAATGAAACAAACATAGCTCAACCTGCAATCTTCGCCGTGCAAGTGGCACTGACTGCGCTTTGGTTATCATGGGGTATTTATCCACGAGTAATTGTCGGACATTCAGTTGGCGAAGTAGCTGCCGCTTACGTTGGTGGACGATTAATACTGACAGAAGCATGCAAAGTAATATATCATTATTCACGTCTTCAGCACCGTAATACACGTCAAGGTGGACGTATGCTAGCAGTTATAGGTCTGGAAGAAACAGAAGCACGTTCACTTCTTCAAGGAGTTGAAAACCGTGTTTCATTTGCCGCTATCAACAGTCCTACTTCAGTCACATACAGTGGTTATAGCACAGAGCTAGAACAGTTATATCAATCACTAGCAAAAACAAAACCCAACGTTTTTAAAACATGGATAAGACTCGAGAATGCATTACATAGCCCTCTAATGGACAACTTTAATATTTATCAAGACCTCTTAAAGTCTCTTAGTGATATCAATGGAGATTATTCTACAATTCAGGAAAATGATATGTTCGACAAAGTTTGTGCAAATGCTAAACTATACTCAACTGTAACTGGCGACTGCAATAATTTATGTTTCGATAGTAACTATTGGTGGAGAAATTTGAGAAGTACCGCAAAGTTCAGCCAGACTATACAAACCATTTTAAAAGATCCTCTTTGTACTACGCATGTGTTCTTAGAAATATCACCACATCCCGTATTAGTCAACTCGATTCAAGAATGTGTGGAATATTTGAAATGTGATCCAATGCCATTGATCACACATTCTCTTAAACGTAAAGAAAATGAACAACAAACAATTCTTTCATCATTGTGTCGTCTACCGAATATCAAATGGTCAAAATTTTGGTATACTCGCACTTGGGCTACGTTTTCTAATGATCAAAAGATTCTTTCTCGACTAACAGAAATGCCTTATTATGCATTTAACAATCAAAGACGGTATGATCACCGAACTGTAAGCGTTATACCGCTCCAAAGTGACACTACAGCAAAGGGCCAGCCAGTGTTAAATGTTGATATCGAAACTATTATTAAAGAAGTCCATTTAATAGTCTTAAAACTATTGGGTCTATCAGATCTGTCCGAAGCGATTGATATCGATAGATCATTAATGACACAAGGGTTGGATTCACTTACAGCTATATCACTTGCTCAGTCGTTATTCTTTAAGTATTCTACTCGTATTCCAGTAACCAAACTACTACAAGGTATATCAATCAAAGAGATAGCTGGCGATATTTGTTTGCACCTACTAAATGAACCAAGAGACGTTGTTGCTACTGACACAAACACACATTCTCTATTAAAAGACATGAATGAATCGAAAAACGACAATAATACAGCAATATTGCGTACTCATCAAAACAAGTATGATCACACTGGTCTTTTTTCAGAATTTGAAAATTACCAATTAGTATGGAAGCCTTTGCACTTAATTGAAGGTAAATGAAATATGATAGGAGTTACTTGTTCTTAAATACAGCAAGAGTGATGACGTGCATTTCAGGATTAGTACTCTAAAAAATGCCATGTATCTTACAACACAGTTCAAGCGTTTATTTTTCATTGGTTTTTTCTTGAGTGTTATAAATCGTTTATCCGTTGACACTGGGCATGTCTTACCAAGACACATCATATATCTAGACAATGACATATCACCTATCCCAGTAAGACGTACCATGTATCAGCCAATAACTAATTTTGAATGCTCAAGCAAAATTAATGAAAAATATACTATCCAAATCTAGTAGTTATAGGAAGAAAGGTGACTATCTGTTGTTCTTGAATTGTCAAAAAGGTATACTCATATCACTTCGACGTAATATTATATCGCATCCATAAAGGACCGTATAGTAATTCATACGGAGACACTATGCCTACTAGGAAAGGTCTTCTAATGAGTCTCCGTTTTCAATCGACTTTACATCGGTTAGTAGAATTTGACGAGTAGACCACAATGGCATAGATCTGTCTTCTTCAAAGACTGTCTTTAACTAGTAAAGTCAATCTCAAATTTGAAAAAAATCATATAAGTTGTTACTTCGAAAATTTCAAGTTTAATGTTAGTTTACGAGAGAATATTCGCAGGACACATTCACTTTTGAATCGAGACTATGCGCACCATAAAGACCTTGACGATTTATGACTATGATAAGAAAAGTTCGTGCTCATGACTTGTTCCGAGCGAGCTATACAAGTTTCAATGAACTTTCTTTAAAGGATCCTATTTTCCCCGTACAACCATATTTTCAAATTTTGAAATGAAACTTTCTCCGCATTAAGATCTCAACTAGCCTAACTTGTAAAAATATTTCAAAACTTTTCGACGAAGTTTTCGAAATGTGAAGACGTTAAAAAATGCATTCTGCATACACTACCTGTGGAAAAGAGCCTATTTCTAGGAATCTTCATATCTCGAATAGATTTCGTCGAAAAGTTTTGAAGCCTTTTTTACAAGCTAGTCTAGTTGAGATCTTGATGTGGACAAAGTTTCATGTCAGAATTCAAAAATATTGTTTTATTGGGAAAGTAGGGTCTTTCAGAAAAAATTCATTAAAACTTCTATATCTCAATCAGAATAAGTCATGAGCACGAACTTTTCTTATCATAATCATAACTCATCAAAGTCTTTAGGATGAGCATAGTCACGATTCAAAAGCGAATGCGCACCTGAAAACGTTACCTCTTTACCCATGTAAAAAAATAAGGCTAAGAATCAACCGATCTGTAATTTTAATCTATTTCAAGAGTAATTAATCGATGAAAACTTAGAAATTTAGATTTTTTTGGATTAAATTGAAGATTATAATCGATTTATTTACATAATTGATTCAGAATCAATGATTTTTCTTCGCTTATCATCATTTTTTTATTGGAATTGAATAAAATTGACTATTAGCAACTATAATCGATTTCCTACGATTTTTTATTAATCAAGTAGAATTAGGTTTTAGAGATAATAAGTTTTAATTAGTATGTGATGATTTTTTAATCGTCTAAAGTCAAGTAACAAGGATTATAATCTACTAAAATCGATCAAGAATTCGAATTGATTATAATCATTAATCGAAGAGTCATCTAAAATCAGACGATACTGATTACAATCTACTAGAATCGATTCGGTTTTCCGATCGATTACAATCATTAAAATAAGAATCGCCTAAAATCCACTGGGATTAATTATAATCTGCTAGAATCGATTGGATTCTGCAATAGATTATCATGATTAATCTGATAATCGGCTAAAATCAACTAATTCTGACTATAAGCTACTATAATTAATTAGGTTTTAGAATTAATTATAATCATTAGAATAAAAATCGTCTAAAATCAACTAATACTAAGTTTAATTTACCACAATCAATTGGTTTCTTCATTTTGCAAAGATATAGATTTCCTTTATCATTGTCTACGTGACTAGGCCAATTAAAACACGTTATGAGAGTAGTAGAATAGAAGTGAAGATAACTGAATAATAGATGATTCAGCAGAATTGACAAGTGTGTTGACGACATACATAGTGGTGATTATTATAGAAAAAGAATATATTTTTAGACTAACAACTATCTTTGAGTGGGTGTGGGTGTGGGTGTGGGTGTGGGTGTGGGTGTGGGTGTGGGTGTGGGGTTTGGGTGGGTGTGGGTGTGGGTGT